TTTACATTCCATTCACTGGAAGAATTGCCACCTCCAGAAGTATATGAACCCTTTGAACGTGTCTATCCCAGCAAGTGCCCAAATGGTAAGCTGACTTCTATTTTACTCTTATAAAATTCCAACCAAAACAACATATACATGCCTCGATGGAAGATAAAACAGTACAAACAAATTGATATAATGGTTCCAGAATACTTGGTGGTTTCTCGTATTGAGCATCTGTGGAGTAAAATCATTTACCCAAATCTACTGTCAAGAATAACAGTGGACTTATCTACAGCTACCATAATTGTTCAATGTTATTTTTACTCCTCTGGAAGTTGTTTATATAATATAAGATTTTAGAGGCCTGTTTGTACTGGTTTTACCACTATCTTTTTATGGCTGCACATATCACAGAGTTAAAACCATTAGTAAGCATGTAAAACACAGTCTGGGCTCGCAAGGTTTGCGTATGTGCAAAGTACTTTTACAATACAAGTAGATTTACGGGGCAGATGGTAAGCATATCCTCTCCTGTGATGTCATCAAGCAAAGGAGTGGGTTTTTGGCTGCAGCTGTTTTTTTGTTACCAAATCTCTAGTCATAGGCAGCAAAGGGCAGGCAACAGCATCGTTGGGGACCCAAGCACCATAATCTACAATGTAATGAGGCGAGATTATTTGAGAGTCCCTTTAGTTAAAAATATACTATTGGGAATCTCATTTGTTTGATATTCCTCTACTTATTTCAATGTACTTCCCCATGTCCATTAATTAATATATGAGTCTGTATCCTTCTATGTCTTTCTTAATGTTCTGTTTGATCAAACAATGCAAGGTGAGTGAACAGGTGAAACTCTGCCCACTGCATTGTTCATGTGGAACTCTGGATTACGCAGAATAAAGAGTAAACTGAACCAGCTGATTCTCATTCTGTGGTTTCCATTCCTTGGCACAAAAAAGTTGATTCTAGCGTTGTGCATACTGCTAGGTTAATGAAGTATTGGATTTCATTTAAGGGTATGTTTTTTTTATTTGTTTTTTAGTAACTGCACCACCTCCACCTCCAGTGAGATACCAGATGAGATGAGCCTTATGCCTTCAAGAACTGAAGCCCAGGATAAGCAAATCTTTTATCTAATGTGCTTGTTGGTGGCTTTTTTCTAAGTTATTGTCATTCGTATTGTCTGATCACACTAAGATGTGTTGCCTATAAATGTGTGTGTATAGCAGAATATGGACATATTTATACTGTCAGGAAACCTCACTTAGTATGGGTATTACAGTCAGGAAACTGCTATTATCGTGTTACAAATAATAATTTGCTGAAGAAGCACTTTGTTTTCCATTTAATTGGAAATTGTACCCCAAGAAAAAAGCCTCTTATATTTGGTAGCATAGTCTACAAAAATTGAGTTATATTCTAAGTAGCTCTCCGAAAGCCTTTTATATTTTCTAGATTTGTCTACAAAAATGGAGCACTATAGTCTACGACCAACCATCTTAATTATTCCAATCACAGCATGAATGTCTCTAACATTTTGAGATCAATGGCGAAACCGAACGATAAGTGACGCAAGTCAATTGATAATACACAAAGTTAAACGAGAAGTAAATAATGTGTAGTCTATGAATCTATGTAATTGGTAGATGACTTAGCAAATGGCTTGGGACCCATAAACTAAACAGAATATTTAAATTTCCTATTTTGTTTCTACATTGGCAACATGTAGAGACCACACCGAACACTGTCAAGTATTTGGCTGTAATTATTTTACTGAAATTTAAAAAAAAAAAAAAATGCTGAAATTTTATTAATTAACCTGTGTTCTTAATACATCAGTTGTTGCCTCCATCACAGTATGAGAAAAGTAGTGGGAAATACTTGTTGCTGCGTTTTGAAACATTTTTTTCAACCACCAATAATCCCCCGCTAGAATGGAGCTCTTTGGAAAAGGGCCACAATAATCTATTTGTATGTGTGTGTATTTTTCAGCACCATTTGCCTTGTCCTGTTTTATTAAATTTGTTGTCACAGGCAGAGAAATGTAATGTGGCCCATCAGCTGTTTTATGACTATAATTACCAAAATTCTGTCAGGATGAAGCTGGGGGCATTAGAGAAAACAGAGTGTAAGAGCTGTAGCCAGGGCTTAGACACCCTCATAATAAATACATTGATAAATAAACTGGTGTCACTGATTTGTTTTAAAACTGGGATTGATTTCTTATACTTTAAATGTATTCTTTAAAAAGGTTTGTTTTAAAGATTTTTTTTGTGTGCTTTGCCTATTTTTATTTTACAGACTTTTCTCTATTATATACATGGCTAGGAATTATCATGTTTTTTTTTAATCAACTGCCATGTTTATTCACTAAAGTGAGAATTCAAAGTGAATTTAAAGGACCACTTCATGTTAATATGTTGATGTTAAGTTCGAAATTCAGTATTAATTCACTTACAGGGACAATCTGGTCACCATAGCAACTTCATCTAAAACTAAATTGCGCACTCTTACCTTTATCAATGTTGAACTGCTGATTGGCGTAGAACATCAGCTGACCGTTGTAGCCAATCAGCAGCACCCCAGCTCGGCGGCACTCCGTACTTCCTGTTGCTGAGATTCAGAAGCCAGATGCCGACTGGGGAACCTGGAGATCGGTGCTGGAGGCAATCTTTGGGGTTATACCGTAAGAGAAAGGTTTAAACCCCCTAAGATCAGAGTGTATCCTGGGGCCTCCTGGCACCATAACAACTTAATTCAGATAAAGTTATTATGGTGACCGGAGCTTTCCTTTATTTTAATAACTATGTACACTAGAACTGCCAGGGGAATTGCATATTGTAGATCATCTGAGTTGAATTGCTCCACTTTGACTATTTTGGATTATAATTTTCAGTTCTCCTTGTCATTTCTCTGCAATTTCCGTTTTTGAGAATAACCCCATTTGTAAAACTAAACTTGCTTTGAGAAGATCAAACTGGTTTGTCTCAGGAGCTACAAGAAAGCTGCTATGACAGTCTCAGAAACCTTTAGAGCTAATTTTGCCCAAAAAATTAATCTGAGAACAAAACATTAATGACTACACATACATTGGGCCAAAGAATCAAGTTAGGAGTGCTCTCATACTTTTTTTTCAGTGTGAATTTGCCATTCACATGTAATCAGCATGTGAGAGGAGTTGCAAGTAATGTTTAATATATTTTTGATTTGATATGTTAGTATCACATGACCCCTGATATTAAGACTGATTAGTTTAATAAAAGGCAAACAATGGCCCTGTAGCCAATTGTATCCCATCCTGTAACTTCTGTATAGGCTTCACCACTCCAATGTTATAGCCATATTATATCCAACATAAAGGTGACTTATTTTCTCCTAGTTCTAGAATGTTACCAGAAAACGGAACATATTCAATTTCTGGTGGTAGACAAATAGAAAATAACAGAGCAAATCCATTATCTTTGCAAGTTCTCATACAGACTCATGAGCTCTGTCACTGAATGACTCCACGGAAGTCAGATTTGACTCCTTGGAAACCTTTATGTAGGTAGGTATCCCATCCCAACTGTATTCAAACATGCCATAGGTAGATATCTGTAGTAATCCCACCATAATGTCTTTGTGGGAATATGGCTTGATAAAGGTATAGAACAAGCATAGGCAACCTCCGGCACTCCAGATGTTTTGGATTACACCTCTCATGATGCTTTACCAGCATTATGGTTGTAAGAGCATTATGGTGGATGTAGTCCACAACATCTTGAGTACTGAAGGTTGCCTTTCCCTGGTCTAGAACCTGGGTGGATAGGCCAATTATTTGGCTACTGCATATTTCCTTTCTACCTTTTTGCTTTAGAGGGTGTGGTACATTTAACAATTTACATATTCACACTTCTAGAAATACCCTGCATTCTATAACATGAATCTGGGCTCAACAAGTGAGAAATAAACAGTTAAACTATACATGACTGATGGCTTCCAGGGACCAAACAGAGATTCTTTGAAATTCCATTTTGAGCCGTAGGGTAAGTGGAAAATTTTCTCAAGAGTTTATGTATGTACTGATGCATAGGCTTGATTGACGTTAGTATGCGGAGGCTTGATTGACGTCAGTTTCTGTATGTACTGATGCAGAGGCTTGATTGACGTCAGTATGAATTTAAGTTGGCATTGTGGCAAACTATGATTTACACCTGCTAAAAGTAGCGCCTGCATTTTCCTGATGTTCTGGTATAATCCAGCAGCTAGACTTGCTAGTTGCATAAACAAAGCTCATATTGTCAGTGGACAAGTAGACATTTATGTCATATTTCTGTGACATCGAAACGTTAGGCTCCAGGCAGTATCGATCTCATTATTAATGTTGTTTTAGATTAGAAAAGGATATGCACTACTTCCTATTTATGAGAAACGGTTTGTCCATAATACAACATCTAAACAAAAGCACAAGTGCTGTAAGTATAGCATCTGTACAGAATGCCTAAGGAAAGACCTTTTAAAATCTAGACTCATCCAACTGAAGGTGCGTTGGTGATGGGCAGAACTATGTGAAATGTCCAATCAGCATATAATTGCAGGTGCAGCATATTTAGCAGTAAGTATGACTCTGTAATATGAAGTGCCATTTAGTATAGGTAGAAAATAGCCATTTAGGTGCCCCTCCCCTCCCCCTGTCAAAAAGGTAATTTACTCATCTAATCCAGGCCATGCTGGTCTCCTTGTGTCTTGCCACACCCTGCTCCACCTTCTTGGCTGAGATTATCTAACATGATGACCTCAGCCAATCCAATGCTACCCATAGGAAAGCATTGGGAAAGGATTGCCCATGCGCACCAAAATGCTGTGCTGCACCAATCAGAATCAATGCATTTCTTTTGGGAGCGTTCAGTGTCTCCATGCCGAGGGTGGAGATGCTGAACGCCAGGGGCTGTACACTGTCATAATAGATAATTGTTTTTGTATATCAATTAAATTGATTTATAGACTTTATCCACTTGATAGGGTAAGTTACATCCAGGACATTTGTGAACGTGGCTTGGATGACCACATGTAGTAATCTGTGTAGTAAATAATGTACAACAGAAAGGTCACAATCTAGTTTTGGGTGTTCGGTTCCTTAATTTCTTCAAAGCTTTAAATTCCATGACACAGCAAAGAAGATCTGATCAGTTGTCACATTTACCTTTTAATTCTCACCTCAGGAAATAAGTCACCAAGTGAATGAAAAAAAAAAGGCTTATGGCTTAGTACTCTAGGTAAGGCATTTAGACACAAATAACAGTATACACATGTCATGAATAAGTAATGTATGATCATTTAACAATTATGAATTCATCTAATTAGAAAGGCAGAAATCACAAAGGTATTCCAGAAGCAAATTTGGGGAATACAGGCCTTTTCACATCATGTATGGCAGATTCCAGTGACGCTCACTCTGGCTCTTTCTTGTCTGATTGTATTTTCCTTTATGAACCTGGCTGAAGGTGACAGAAGCATTGGTCCAGTAACAGTTATGGGACAAACATGTCACTCAGTCATGATGTCTGGGATCAGAGTTCAGTGAATGGTGAAAAATAGCTTTAATAGGAGGAAATCAAATAAGTCCTCAGGGTATTATTATTTAATATGGTATTATCTTTCCAAACAATAAAAGGCATACACAGAACACGCTAACATTCATTAATCTACATGCACAAACCTATCATCGGAAGCCCATTCTCTTCACTCTAGAAACACGGAACAACATGGTGGAATGAAAGATATAGAAGAAAATCACCCACTGGAGCTGGCCAATAAATCATCTCTTTCTTCTAGCATAAAGGTGGGTTTTGTCCATGTTTTCTAAAATAAATATATACATTAAATTAAAAACAGATGTCACAATAAGTAAGTTTCAGCCCAAATGACATAGACATATTGCTAATTTTTTAAAATTATCACACTATAAATATTATAAAATGCCAACTCTCCTGTACTACAAACATTCCATTTAGAACATTTACTTATTTCACCTAATTTACCAAAAATACAGAAATAAAAGTGAGTTAAACAGTAACCAGTATAAAATAAAGGAAAATTTAATACTAGTATTAAAATAAAGGTGAGTTAAAGGACTACTAAAACCACGCAGACCACTTAATCTCAATCACGTGGTCTGAGTGCAGTGCTCCAATCAGTTTAATCCTTTAATGTAAAACACTGCGGTTTTAGAGAAACTGCAGACAGACACTGGATACGTTTCCATTGCACTGACCAAGTAAAATTCAGTCACGTAACATTGCAGTTTATAGGGGAGTATGGAATTCATTGCCTTCCAATGAGAAGCATTGGATGCTTGCCGCACATGCGCATCAAGTAGCCAATGTTTATCTATAAGATGCACAGGAGTGGACCAGCGATGGAGGAAGTTACGCCTCCTTGATCACATCACAGGAGGTAGAGAGGTAAGTAAAACGCTTTTATAAAATAAAAAAAATTCATGAATAACAGAGGGGGGTGGCTGAAACTGTGACAAGGACACTGTACTGTTAGAAATACTGGTTTGTATTCCTAATGCTATAGTGCTCCTTTAAATGGTAGTCGTAGCACGTGCAAACTGTGTAATTCACCTCATGTGTCACTGGTCATTAATCATTAAACCCTAAAGTGGATTTGTCACTAAAAAATATTTTCAATAATTAAATGTAGCTAACACCTGCAATTAAAATAATGTAATGTTAGGCCACATTACCTCCTCTTCTTTTGAAGTTGTGAGGTTGTTATCTTTCTTATCTAATCTTTTTTTCTTTTTATATGTAAGTACAGCACTTACACTATTGTTTTTGTTTGTGCCCCTTTTGTCTGGCAGGGAACCCATACAGACTCTTGTGTATCACCATATCTCATTAAAGTGGTCTGGGTGTAGTGTCCCTGTTCCCTTAACCCTGCAATGTAACACTTTACTGTTTTATAGAAACATTGCAGTACTAAGACTGTCTACTAGACAGTTGCTAGAGGCGCTTCCTGCATTTTCACAGAGTTTAACTCCGCAAAACTTTGCTGAACGTCCTCACAGTTTGCATGAGGAATTTCAGCGTCAGAGAAAACCCCATAGGAAAGCCTAATATGCGTGTGTATGTGAATTATGTATTAGGTTCTCCCCACTGGCTGATGTCCTCCTCAGAGGAGGAGCGCGACCCAGCACCGAGGGACACTGACACTGGAATCGGGTAAATGAAAGAAATGTTTTTGTTTTTTTAAACCTTTCTTGGACATGGGATACACCTTCGTATTTTTAACACTAAAGTGTTCCTTTAAGCTAGTCTTTCTTACAATGTGACTGAAAGCAATAAGGAACTCCAAATTTAGGGATCCAGGCTTTCTTGGTAACCCCTGGTTTTGTCAAACAGCTTGAAAACAGTGTAGTAGTGTATAGTGCATAGACTGGCCCTTTAAAGCACGGTACTGTATTCACAGTGTGGTGGGGAAACCTATGCATATTTTGAAACAGGGTTGGCCAAACCAAAGAACAACAGCTGATGTAAAACAACAACCGCGATTCATTGCCAAATTTGAGGCAGACAAAGCATCATGGTAGTTGCAGCTTTACGACAGCTTAGGATCTATTTTTGTAACACCCCTTCTTTGTGAGGACATTAAGTTCCTGGTAACTAGATGGACGTTATATGCATTGGATGGCACAGGTCTATATCCTGCTCCTTGTTAACGATTAGCAAAGACTAATATATGGCCCTTATTCCAGTCAAAAAACAAATGTGGAAGTTACCCAGATTACCACAATCACAGGATGTAAAAAATGTTCTATGGTAAACAAAAGCAAATCCCAGTACTCAGGGCAACTCCCAACAAGAATCCCTTTCATTCTCCATCCAAGGCAGATGGTCAAATCAAATCAAATATATTATATTCACCCCTGAAGGATTAAAGTCAATTTCCATATTACATGCTTGGTAAATAAATTGCCCAGGCACCATCCACTCGGAGCTATCACAAGAAAAGTGGTGAAACAGGATCTTGACAAACGCATGGATTGCGGCAGTTTTGACACTTTGCTGGGGACAGCTCCCAGTGAGCGGTGGCTGGACAATTTATTTACCAAACATATAACATGGAAACTGATTGATTTCAATCACTAAATGGTGAATTAAATATGTTTGATTTTATTTTATTTAGGAATGAAAAGGGATTCCTTAATGTGTGTGCACAAGTTATCTCCCTCATTTTAGTCAACCAAGAGGTAATTGGCCAAAGAGGTAGCAAGCAGTGCAGTGACCATCACAGTTAAACTACTAACCGTAGCTTTCAGGATGGAAACCTTAATGATTTTGCTGAGTTGTCTGATAGAGAACTGTCTGGTTGTGGATATGTAAACTGAAAGCCAACAGCCATAAAACCCAAACGTGAAAGTGCTGCATTCTCCAGCTAGTGGCTGAAATCGTTTGTTAGAGAGAGAAATGAAATAGGTTAATTACACCCATGGTGGAATACTAACTTGCACTGAAAAACTTACTTCACTTATAGAACTTGATTTCTGTGTCAACACAGTCATAAAAAAGATCCACTACTTCTGCCGGGTCTAAAGACCCCGCACTATTTAGTATATCTTCCATGGCTTCCAAGCCTTGTTTCTCCAGATCATGCATAGTGTTCATCAGCTTTTCTCCTTGTTCCTAAAAATATAAGAAAACAAAACCTTAAAGTTCTGCTTTATCCTCATGAAAAATAAGAATCTGGGATTTTCTTGCACATGTTTATCAAACTGTCCCGTGTGAGAAGTCAGCGACGCTAGCGCCTGCTCATTAACAGCCAATGCATATAGTTGGGGTTTCCATATTCACCATGGACATCCACCATTGACACATATCATTTTGTCATATTTATGAAAACGCATGAAAGGGTTGCCCTACAGTATGTTTAAGGCATATTCGGCAGGATTCTTCTTCTACATAATCCAGGGCAATCCTTATCATGTGCTGGGAAAGAATTGTAACAATTCAGCAACTTCAAATCTAACCATCTTTTTTAAATCTTTTATTATTTTGGACTTCAATAAAAAGCATTTTAAATGTGTTCACTCCAGTCTGGAAAGCCCCTTTAATGACCCTGAGTAGCTCACAATACAGAACAAATATCTACAGGAACCCTATACGTACAATGTACTACTGCTTAGAGAAAAATATGACCTTTTCATGTGGTTTCCTTGCAAAAAAAAAAAAGAATAGATATATGGAACCAGAAACAGTCAGTTTGAGAGGGGAAAAAACAACAAAGAGATACGCAGATCTAATGTTATAAACGTACAACACTTCAGTTGAGTTCCAAAGTCTAGCTGATGGCAAATGAAGGGTTTAACCCCTTAAGGACACATGACATGTGTGACATGTCATGATTCCCTTTTATTCCAGAAGTTTGGTCCTTAAGGGGTTAAGATGCAAAATAATTGGTCTTCTGTTGCTAGATGTTTCCAGACTAAACCAGTCCTGATGGATATCACACCCAAACTTAACATTCCAAGGATGCCCCCCAGCACCTTTATTAAAGCCCCCTCTGCACAATAGCAGGAGAGGCCTGAGATGTTATCTTTCCTAATAGCAATACAAACAATGGTGAACCACAAACTGGTACATTGAATTCTCCTGAAATAACTGCAATTAAAGTATGCAGGAGATAATATCTCAACTGGAGAAGCATTTTCAGAGATTCATCCATTTATTGCCCTGAAGGTCAGATGAAGTTGAGACATGTCATACTGTGGACATTATGGACACCTAGAGGTAACTAATGCAAATTCTGGATTTTGCCTACCCAAAGGTGACTGGACACAAAGTCAGGACGGTGGCAGTTTTGTATATACTGTATGTGTTGTATAGGAAGCAGTTTAAAAAGACAGGACAACATCGAGAGAACATGGATTCTTACTACGCACACATACCGCTAATAAAATAGATTAGATAGACTGAGTAGCCTTGCGTGTCAGATTCTCTTACCACCATGTACATGCATTCTATTGTTAAGTAAATATATTATATTTTAAGTCACTGGTGTAAGTGTAGATTATTGAGTAAAACAATAGTCACAAATCTCAGTATTCAAGGGAGCCCTTTTTACATATACGATTTAAAATAATTGATGAATTAATGAATATCATCAATCAACAAATCATCACAAAACAGTCAACCAATCACTTAGCCTTTATTCTGTCACATTTGTTTCTTTTTTAATACAACTTAACCCTAATGAGAACACTGAGAATCTATACTTAGCACAATATATATACAGTGTCTCACAAAAGTGAGTACACCCTTCACATTTTTGTAAATATTTTATCTTTTCATGTGACAACATTGAAGAAATGACACTCTGCTACAATGTAAAGTAGTAAGTGTACAGCCTGTATTACAGTGTAAATTTGCTGTCCCCTCAAAATAACTCAACACACAGCCATTAATGTCTAAACCAGGTTTCCCCAAACTCCGGACCTCCAGATGTTGCTGAACTACAACTCCCATGATTCTCAGCTTATCTACTTTATTCATAGAATCATGGGAGTTGTACTTCGGCAACATGTGGAGGGCTGGAGTTTGGGGAAGCCTGGTCTAAACTGTTGGCAACAAAAGTGAGTACACCCCTAAATGGAAATGTCCAAATTGGACCCAAGTAGCCATTTCCCCTCCCCAGTGTCATGTGACTCGTTAGTTTTACAAGGTCTCAGGTGTGTTAAATTTGGTGTTATCGCTCTCACACTCTCTCTGAGGATCACACAACTCTCTGAGGATCTGAAAAAAAAGAATTGTTCCTCTACATAAAGATGGCCTAGGCTATAAGAAGATTGCCAAGACCTTGAAACTGAGCTGCAGCACGGTGGGCAAGACCATAGAGCGGTTTCACAGGACAGGTTTCACTCAGAACAGGCCTCGCCATGGTTGACCAAAGAATTTGAGTGCACATGCTCAGCGTCATATCCAGACATTATCTTTGGGAAATAGACATATGAGTGCTGCCAGCATTGCTGCAGAGGTTGAAGGGACAGCCTGTCAGAGCTCAGACCATGCGCCGCATCACTGCATCAAATTGGTCTGCATGGCTATCGTCCCAGAAGGAAGCCTCTTCTAAAGATAATGCACAAGAAGCCCGCAGTTTGCTGAAGACATGCAGACTAAGGACATGGATTACTGGAACCATGTCCTGTGGTCCGTTGAGACTAAGGTAAACTTATTTGGTTCAGATGACATCAAGGCAACCAGGTGAGGAGTACAAAGACAAGTGTTTCTTGCCTACAGTCAAGCATGGTGGTGGGAGTGTCATGGTCTGGGCCTGCATGAGTGCTGCCGGAACTGGGGAGCTGCAGTTCATTGAGGTAACCATTAATGCCAACACGTACTGTGACATACTGAAGTAGAGCATGATCCCCTCCCTTCAGAGACTGGGCCACAGGGCAGTATTCAAACATGATAACGGCCCCAAACACACCTCCAAGATGACCATTGCCTTGCTAAAGAAGTTGAAGGTAAAGGTGATTGACTGGCCAAGCATGTCTCCAGACCTAAACCCTATTAAGCATCTGTGGGGCATCCTCAAATGGAAGGTAGGGGAGCGCAAGATCTGTAACATCCAGATGTCATAATGGAGGAGTGGAAGAGGACTCCAGTGGCATCCTGTGAAGCTCTGATGAACTCCATGCCCATGAGGGTTAAGGCAATGCTGGAAAACAATGGTGGCCACACAAAATATTGACACTTTGGGTCCAATTTGGACATTTCCACTTAGGGGTGTACTGTCAGGATTACAGTATGATCCAGCATGTAGAATTGTGTAACACAGGAGACTAATAGGTAACGTATACTGAGCCTTAGAATGGCCGGACTAATGTACCAAAGAATAGTCAGAGAAACAGCCGAGGTCAGGGGACACAATGATAAAGGAAAGTCAGAGGTCAGGGATACCAGAAAACAGGGAAGTCAAAGCCAAAGTTAATAACCAGAAAAAAAATAACGCGCTTTCGGAAAACCACTAGGGAAACCACAACAGGGCAAAGAGGAAGGGTTTCTCTGTGTTTAAATACCTGCTTTACCCTTCTGATTGGCTGAAATCGCTCTTTGACCCCAAAATGTGCGCGCGCAGCGTGTGTGTGAGGTCACGTGCACGCCGACATCGTCAATCACGTGAGCAGACATGGGGGTATATTTTGCAGTGGATCCGCTGGGTGCAGATACCGCAAGGTGAGGAAGAATATGTTACATGTACTCACTTTTTTTGGTTTAGACATTAATGGCTGTGTCTTGAGTTATTTTGAGGGGACAGCAAATTTACACTGTTATACAGGCTGTACACTTACTACTTTACATTGTAGCAGAGAGTAATTTCTTCAATGTTGTCACATGAAAAGATATAATAAAATATTTACAAAAATGTGAGTGGTGTACTCACTTTTGTGAGATACTGTATGTAAAGAGATATAGTGAGTAGAATGGATTAGATCTATAAGGTATGATGGCAATCAGACATTGGACCTCAATCGCTTACTGGATCTTTTTCTATTAAAGACAAGGCCTGCTCATGGCTTTTGTACAGTTCGTGTTTCCACTTTGTCTGTCCGTCATCGCTTGATTCATCTCTCAGGGTCGATGAGTGAGCTTTGGGTACCACTGTCACGTCTTCCACAAAGATAAAAGGTTTAAAAACAGACCTTGAAGAGAATGGAATAAAAATAAGTAGCAACTGGTATTTAGATATCTGCAACGGGTATGAAAATATATGCAATAGGTATGTAAATACATGTAACGGGTATGTAAATACATGAAATGGGTATGAAGATTTATAAGATGGGTATGTAGATATATGAGATGGGTATGTAGATATATGAGATGGGTATGTAGATATATGAAACGGATATGAAAATATATGAGATGGGTATGTAGATATATGAAACGGGTATGTAGATATATGAAACGGGTATGTAGATATGTGAAATGGGTATTTAGATATATGAAACGGGTATGTAGATATATGAGATGGGTATGTAGATATTTGAAATGGGTATGTAGATATATGTAACGGGTATGTAGATATATGTAACGGGTATGTAGATATATGAGATGGGTATGAAGATATATGAGATGGGTATGAAGAAATATGAGACGGGTATGTAGATATATGTATTGAGTATGTAGATATATGTAACGGGTATGAAGATATATGAGATGGGTATGTAGATACATGCAACAAAAGTTATTTTACAGCAAATAATTCTAGTGTCCTGATAATTGTGTATCCAATTACACTGTAAATTTTTACATTGATAGAAAACATTGATGGGTTATTATTATCACATTATATTCTTACCTTTTATCCCAAACATCCTTACCTAAAGAGCCATCAATGTGTTGATTTAAATGAAGTGTGTATACTGAGATAAGACAAACACCTTGCATACGTGCGATGGGGTCAAAAAGTTGAAGTGTTGTTAAAACATGTACGACTCTTCAAGAAACAGTCCCCCATATCACGGTGCCTAGGGGATAGGGTACGATCATTTGAGCAGCCACAGATTGCTCACCTTTAACTAGATATGCTCCCACATGGGCATATTTGATGGAAGCATAAGGAGAACATTTAATTCTACCTATACTTACATGGGGATCAATATCAATATCGGTCTACAAGATATTGCTCTCTCCTGGTGCTCCTCCTATCTCTCCCAGCGCTCTTTCAGTGTTTCTTTCTCTAGCTCTGCTTCTTCTCCCCAACTTCTCTCTGTTGGTGTCCCCCGAGGTTCAGTCCTTGGTCCCCTACTGTTCTCCATCTATACTGCCTCCCTTGGTAAACTCATTAGCTCCTTCCAATATCATTTCGATGCAGATGACATGCAAATCTACCTGTCCTCTCCTGATCTTTCCCTGTCCCTCTTGACTAGTGTATCTGACTGCCTCTCTGCTATTTCTAACTGGATGGCTGCCCACTTCCTTAGACTAAACTTGACCAAAACTGAAATGCTGGTCTTTCCTCACTCAAGTGTTGTTACTCCTGTGTCTGTCTCCTTCCAAGTCAACAGTGCTACCATCAGCTCCACCACGCAGGCTCGCTGCCTTGGTGTTCTCTTTGACTCCGACCTCTCCTTCAAGCCTCATGTTCAATCTATCGCCAAATCCTGTCATTTCCATCTCAAAAACATTGCGCGCATCCGCCCCTACTAAACGCCAGATGCGACTAAGGTGTTGGTCCATTCCACTGTACTTTCTCGCCTTGACTACTCTAATCCGCTTCTCAGTGGTCTTACGTGCTCCCAACTTGCGCCATTACAGTCCATAATGAATGCAGCAGCGAGGCTCAACTTCCTGTCTGCCCGCACCTCCCATGCCACACCCTTCTGTCAGTCCCTACATTGGCTTCCTATAAAATATAGAGCTCAATTTAAAATTCTAGTTCTTGCTTTCAAATCTCTACATAATGCTGCTCCCACCTATCTATCCTCCCTTATACACAAGTATGTCCCGTCTAGGCTTTTACGATCTGCTGAAGACTTACGTCTATCTTCTGTCTGTACTCCCACCTCTGATGCTCGCCTTCAAGATTTCTTGAGGGCTGCACCATTCCTGTGGAACTCGCTTCCCTTCTCCGTTAGATGCTCACCCAGTCTCCACTCCTTCAAAATATCGTTAAAAACCCACTTCTTCATAAAAGCGTATCAATTAAACTGTTAATAGCTCCTGAATGATTCCTCTTCTGCAACTGTCACTAGTGTAATACTATCCTTACCTTTTTGTGTAATTTTACCCCACTCCCTCTAGCATGTAAGCTGTTCCTGTGTGTCCAACTTGTCTGGTTACAACTACATGTCTGTTCGTCCACCCATTGTAAAGCGCTACGGAATTTGATGGCGCTATATAAATATCATAATAATAATCATAGTAACCTCGATAAGATATTTTGTTTTTTTGGCCACACACTTAAAGGACCACTACTGTATAGTGCCAGGAAAACAAACTAATTTTGTTCATTAGGTCCCCCCCACCCTCAGGGCCCCCCTCCCGCTGGGCTGAAGGGGAAGGAAACCTTAAGAGTTTTATGAAAAAGCAGTTAAAACCCCTTCAGCCACTTACCTTTCTCCAGCACCGAGCTCCCTCTGCGCTGGTGACCTCTCCACACCCTGCCGACGTCAGATCCGAATGCGCATTCAAACCGCCCATAGGAAAGCATTATCAATGCTTTCCTATGAACGTCCAGTGTCTTCTCACTGATTTTCACAGTGAGAATCGCGGAAGCGCCTCTAGCTTTGAGTTGTATCAAAGTGATGCATGTCCCTTTAAGATTAATATCACTCTTCACATTGTGTAATGAAACCAAATGGGTCATTACAATCGCCTGTAAGAGTAAACATCCTATAATGCCTGCGGAGCATTTATAGAGAATGACTTGACCACCTCAGTTGCATCCCTGAAAGAGCACGAACAATAGAACAGGCATACACACCTACACTGTTTGCTAAGTGCACCAGCTTAGAAACTAGTAATGAAAAACCCTGGGGTAGAGAACATCTCACATGTGACTATATAAGTGCCATGGGCTATCAGGATTCATTTGTGTCCAAATATATATATATATATATATATATATATGAATTTTCCTCATTGATTCAATGCATCTCTATGAGGAGGTGCTGATTGGCCAAAATGTATTTTGCCCCACCCCATGCCAATTTCAGCTAATTCAATGCTTTCTCTTCTGATGATGTCATCAAGAAAGGCAGATCGGGGGCGGGCCAGCGTCGGCGGACCCGCGCGGTGCTGGAAATAAGGAGAGTTTTAACATTTTCTAAGGGTGGGCAAGCCACCTAAATGGTGGGTTTAACACTATACGGTCAGGAACACATATTTGTGTTCCTGATCCTATAGTGTTCCTTTAACTATTAAATAGGAACTGTCTCAGATTGCTGATAGCTCCATTTTACCTCAGTGTAGTAAAAGCTATTGAACAAATTATAGAACATCATTGTTATACAGTACTATGTTATACATTCTCTAGTTTTGACCCATGACATGTTTTACTACAAAAAAAAGTTTGTCCATGTTGACATTTTTCTTACTAGGTAACTCTGCATACCGCTTTGCTCATTAGTATTTAAAGATAAACTTATCTAAGCTCCAATTTCAACTTGGATCAACATTATATATTATCTATTCTAACCAGTTTATTAACTAACCCTCCTTATCAAAAAAAAAAAAAAAAATTAGATATCATCTATATCTGATAAAACAACCATTCTGGGCAGAGAACTTCAAAACTATGTTGATCTTAAAAATCATTTCCTCTGCACTCAACGGGCAACACTTACCCAAGAAAGGGACTCTGAAACACTCCTCAGGCAAAGTATACACTAACAATACTCTACACGTTCCAGATACAGCCTGTACAACCTGTGGTTGATATTTAGGTTCCAACACAGCTTACCCCAGTATCAGATTAAATCGCGACACATCTGAATCTGGAGACCCTGGGGTCCCGACAGGCGGGATCACTGCTATAACATTACAAGAAGGACATTATGTATATTACAAGTCTATAGCACAGTTACAATAATATGTACCCAGTATACTTGACGTTTGTCACGTTACTATAATGCTGTAAAGAAGAAAAACCTTCACAGACTGAGCAAGTCAGTTACCATTGTTTGATGTAATGCATGTTTTAACAGTATTTACCTATCTTTCTGCATTATATCTGCACTGCTATATATTCGACGAAATGGCTTGTGCACAAGCCTTTTGTTGTTGATATTTTGCAGGCTTTGTCAATAGTGATGTCCCGAACGGTTCGCGAACGGTTTGCCGCGGACTCATCATTGAGTAAACTTTGACCCTGTACCTCACAGTCAGCAGACACATTCCAGCCAATCAGCAGCAGACCCTCCCTCCCACCTCCTGGACAGCATCCATTTTACATTCATTGTGAAGCTGCGTTCTTAGTAAGCTGTCCAGGAGGTGGGAGGGTCTGGGAGGGAGGGTCTGCTGCAGATTGGCTGGAATGTGTCTGCTGACTGTGAGGTACAGGGTCAAAGTTTACTCGATGAGTCCGCGGCGAACCGTTCGGGACATCACTATTTGTCAATGCAAAAATAAAGAATAAAAAAATAATAAAATAATAATTTCCTCTGTACAAAATCTCCTCTCTTCAAGTCTCAAGAGCTCTCCTCCTTTGTACGATCCTGTTAACGAACAGGTCACAAGAGAGCTGATTGTACTGTCACTATGTATAGTTGTATGTTATCAGAGCCCTTCTGAGACATTTATTTCCCCAACTGTTCTACTCTTCCCCAAGTTTCTAATATTTTCTATTCCCCTCTTTAATCTTGTTGCCTATCTGAAGTTCCATTATATCCTTCTTGAGAACAGGTTCTGAAAATTGCACGACATATTCAAGGTGAAATCTAACCTTTCATGTAAAAATAGGCAAAATTATATTTCCATCACACAAATTATTACCTTGAGGGATCTGGGGTTCCAGTGAAAAAGTGTATACAAGGAGAGCTCTCATTCTGAGGTAAGACTGACACCGCACTTGCTGTAGTGATGTAGGCCTCAGATTGAACACCACTGTATTTCTCTCGAAGAATATTTATTATTGTTTCTGCAGTCATCATTTCTAAAAATAAGTATATAAAATATAAGCAATTGTTTTAGAAGCTTGTAAAAGCTGTCATTTGCGAATTCAATGTAGTCTCAGATTGAACTTTAAACCTGTGTAAGGAGACAATGAGCCCTGCATTTCTACTGAAACAGCCAATACAGTAAGCATATGGCAGCCATAAATCACTAAGCACACTATATGTAAAGCTGTATAACAAAAATAACCCGCAAAGCTGTACAAAATGTCCATATTATCTTCTACAGTTGCAGACACAGTTGGAAATGACACATAACATTCTTCAGACTACAGGCCGAGTAATGATTTGTAAGTCAATGAAACCATCCCCAGCCAACTACAGGAGCCAAACAAGAACACAAAAGGGTGGAAGTGGTCTGTAATGTTTATAGTGCTTGAAGTTGTTTCTTTAAGAAGAAAACACTCCAGTTCTATGTATGAAATAGATGCAGATGTACTTCACATTCTGAGCTCTAGAACTTCTCATGAAGGATCAAGTGAGTTTAGATCTAGTGGCTTGGTGTTAGACTGATTCAAGAACCCACTTGTTTAGCAGTGGTTATGGGACATTACTATACTGGACAATCATGAGGGAACAGTGTTTTCACCATACATGATATGGTCCTGTAAAATGGCCTGGTATGCTTTTGAGGTTAACCCCTTAGTGACTAGATTGTTTTTCAATTTTCTTACCGTTAAGGACCAGGGCTGTTTTTACATTTCTGCCATGTTTGTGTTTAGCTGTAATTTTCCTATTACTCATGTACTGTACCCACACATATTATATACCGCTCTTCTCGCCATTAAAGCGGCACTGTCATGCTGAACTTACCTTTCCCCGATCTCTTCCTCTTCTCCCCCTCTCTCAGGATCTGTTCTTCTTTTCTTCCTGTCTTCTTTAGTTTTCTTTAAAATCATAAGACAAAGTAGGGACTCTATGCCTTGTGGAGGTTTCCATCGCTTGACCAGCTTTGACCAGTGTGCTTCAAAGCAAAGTGTGCTTCATTTCTGCTGGTCAGAGCAATTTTCCCATAATTCTTACGTTTCCTCTGTGATCTTGCGATGCTTCCTGTCATTTTAGACAAAACTGCAGAATTGCGTTCTAACTGAATGAGAACAGTTTCTCCATTTGTGTTAGAACGCAATTTGGCACTTTGTTCGTATCGGAATTTCATTCGAATGAATGGAACTCCGATCTTATTCATTGCCGCGGTTGCATCTTGCAGCCGCTTAGTAGATAACTCCCTAATTCCCACAGTATCAGGGAGCTATCTACAAAAAGGCTGAAAGACCTAAATTGGTCTTTCAGCCACATTTACTAATACTAAGTAAAGATTAGTATTAGTAAATGATCTGCCCCTTTACACAGCGTGGGAAAATTCCAAAGAACTTTCCCACGCTGTGTAAAATGACACAAAGCACTCTGATTGGCTTAGAGCACTCTGACAAAGAGAACTCTGATTGGCTTAAACCAGCCAATCAGAGTGTTCTTAGCCTAATTGCAGGGCGGGACAAGGCTTTATAAGCCTCCCCCCCCCTGCAGAGCTCAGTCTGCGCAGAGCCCTCCATGGGTGAAGATGGATTATTTTTTTTGTGTTCTGGTTTTCTTCTTTTTCGTCTGTTTTTTTTTTTTGCGATCTGTTTTTTTATTTGCGATCAGGTTTTTTTATTTTATTTTAAGTTCGACTGGTATAGTGGTTTTTTATTTGGCCTTTTTTGGGGCTGAAAAATGAAGATTTTAGAAAAAAGAAGACGTCAAATGATAAGTTTAATTTTTCTTTACAGGTTAGTTATTTTATTCTCCCCTCACTATTTTTTAGGGTGAAAAATAATAATTGTTGATTTTTTTTTTTTTTACATACATAGCAATTTAAGAATACATGTACTGAGAACTTTAAGGGTTACTGCCAAAGAACACCCCAATATGTGTCCAGCAGCATCTCCACCACCCATATACAGCTGTGTCTGGTTCTCTGGGGGCTAAAAGACCTTATTTGGAAGGTGCACATTCCAGTTTTCCAACTTGCAATTTTCACAGCCGGCCAATGTAATTTATCATCATCAAACCATATATTTTTGAAAAGTAGACACCCTAGGGTATTTCAAATGGTGGTATTTTAACACTTTATATGCACTAATTCTACCACCAGTCTTTGTCAAACTTTTGGGTAGTCATTTTTTTGTGCTTTTTTTCTCTCACATTGTACTTTAGGCATTGATTCTCAGTTCCTGTTATGTGTTACTGACAAAGAACACCCCGATATGTGTTCAGCAACATCTCCTGAGTACAACAGTACTCCCAATGTACCGGTTTTATGGGTTTTTGCAAACTTACAGGGGTGAAATGTAGGGCTTTCCCCTTTTCCCATGATTGCACATATGTTTGCCAGATTGGTTTGCTAGGCCTTTGAGACTGTATGGCAGCCCAGGAATGAAAATTAACCCAATCATGGCATACCATTTGTAAACATGGACAACCCACGGTATTCAAAATGGGGTATGTCCAGTCATTTTTAGTAGCCACTTAGTCACAAGCCCTGGCTTGTGGCAGGTTTTATGGTGATTTGGGAAGTTACAGGGTCAAACATAAGATTTGCTAATTTCTGTTCGGTAAATTGGCTATGTTGCCTTTGAGACGGTATGGCAGCCCAGAAATGAAAATTAATGACATAACATTTGAAAAAGTAGACAAACCAGTGTATTCAAAATGTGGTATGTTCAATCTTTTGTAGTAGCCACTTAGCCACAAACGCTTGCCAAAGTTAATGTTCATATTTGTTTTTTGCATTTATTTTACATAAAAACTGCACTTTTACTGGCGATTTCATTGTCGTGTCCCGAGTATAACAATACCCCCATGTAAAGGTTTTATGGTGTTTTGGAATGTTACGGGGTTAAATATAGGGATTGCCAATTAAATTCTCTGGACTGTCTGCCTGGCTTGTAAGGCAGGTCACTCAAATTATAACTAATAAAATCAAATAATTATGTATTTAATAGTTAAATATATATGTAGAATGTGTGTGTGTATGTATGTGTGTATATATATATATATATATATATACATATATATATATATATACACACACACACACAATACGTGTGTATGTGTGTGTGTATATATATATATAGATATATATATATATACACACACACACGTATTGTATGTATGTGTGTGTGTGTGTATATATACACATACACACGTATTAAGTGTGTGTGTGTGTGTGTATATATATACACATACACACGTATTAAGTGTGTATATAATGTGTGTGTGTGTGTGTGTGTGTGTGTGTATATATATATATACACACATATATATATATATATATATATATATATATACATATACACACACTGACTTTTATTTCCTATATATGTATATTATAAAATAATTTTAAAAAGCACTTTATAATATATTATATATATTATAGGTGTATTTTGAGATATGTGTGTATATCTCAAAGTACACTTATAATGAAATCATATATATGCATTATATATGTATAATATATTACAAAATGCTTTAATTATTTTATAATTTATTTTACATATATATGTACAATATATTCAATATATTTATTTTATTATAATTTGTATTATTTTTTTACATTTTAGGTGACAGCTCAGGCAGTGCCCCTGCTGGCAGCTCCATAGACTCCTGTTGCGACCATGAGATCATGGTGATCACATGGACCTGGAGGGCCGTGGTGGCCCGGAGCTGCTGGGGACTCAGGCAGTCCCCCGACCGCGATCGCCGTTCCAGGTAAGTACAGGGGTCATTTTTGCCGCGGACGTACCAGGTACGCCAGATGTTAACAACCGTTTTTTGTCGGACGTACCTGGTACGTCCGCGGTCAGGAAGGGGTTAACCAACCATATAAAGGTATAACAAATGGACGCAGTGGGAGAGAGTTATTAAGTTGTCTAAAAAGTGGTGCACAAATGTAGTAGGGGAGGAGTGACTAATGGAATGTGCATGTTGGTTCCACCGATTTCCATGGTGAATGTATGACTTTCAGAACTTTAGAAAACTTTTTAGATCAGAACACTTTGATAAAACTCCCCCAATGGTTCTGACAAAAATGGATGCTTATGTCATTGTGGGTTGCTTGCTATAATTATCAGTTTGCAACAGACATTGAGGTTTGAACAGGCAGGACAGAGAGATGGCTGAAGAGATTAGAGGTTCTCCCCAAATAGTACATCTTTTAGTTTACACCAGCTTGTAGCAGTTTCCTCCCCTTGCTACTCTGGTACGGTCTGGTGGTTCTTGATGATCATGATATCGAGGACCTCTAGAGGCATATGCTGCTTCCTACATGAGTCTCCAATAATTTACTTCCACAGTTCATCTAAAGTCTGGGATTCATTTGAGATCACAGACAGCCATGTCAGGGAAGCCTGATATAGTAGAACTTCCTGACCATCACTCTTCTGTCTGGGAGTCCTTCCTATGAGGTTAAAAAGGTTATCTGGATATGAGCAGAAAGGAAATAATTAGTCTGTGCTTGTACGTACACAGACCTCTCTCAATTAGGAATGTCAGATTTTCATTTTGATATCACACAATTATGATAAATAGTTATAAAACACTAGTTTTATCCATGTTTTAGTAGCCAACACAGCATTTGCATTTGTATGTCATCATTATTAATTGTAAACCGTAACAACTCTGACCCATTCTCCATCAGTGCATCACATGATATTTGCCTAATGTCTCTAACTGCATACAATGTTGACTCTTCCTAAATAAAAAAACAAAAAAAAACAATAACTTACCTCCAGGAATTTCAGATGCCTTTTCTGGACAATCATGACCATGTCCACCTTCTGAAAAAACTTCAGAGAAATTAAATTCTTTATCTTCATTCCACCAGCCCTGACTCTGTGCACAGCTCCGTAGTTCTGGGTGTTCCATATCGATCTTTGTTTTCAGGGATAAATGATTGCAAAGGCATTTCACTCCATCTATGTCAAATGGAAAGAGAATTAAAAGAAGGAAAATTGTGAGGCAGTATTCATAGAAAATAGGAATGGATGAGAAAAAAACACAGACGTACTGTTAGATGACTACGTTGATCAATGGCCCAGGAAGAATCCTGCCAGCAGTTGAATGATAAATGAATGTAACTTCATAGTATCATACTATGTTATATTGTAACTAATACACACCATCCCTCAAACTGCTATATTTAGATTGAAATTAATTAGTCCACTAATATGTAACAAAGTAAACAAAAAAATGGGATTTTTTAATGCAGTAAATAACTGTGAAGACTAACTTTAGGACAGTCTGCATGCCCCACACTAAAGTAGGGAGGCATAAAATGGTGGGTATCACAAACAGCAGCCATTTTATCATCTGATTGAATAGAATATAATGTTTTCATCAATATAAACATTAACAGTCAATACAGTGAAGATGATAAAAGATATGAGGACCAGCAACTGTGACCCCATCCCAGATAAAAACTCAAATAAAAATACAAAGAGGAGGTTATACGTATTAACATAAAAACATCAAATAAAGGCAATACATTTTTTTTTTTGCTTAGATTAAAGAATACCTGTATACATTTGGAATGACAATTGAAGACAAAATAATTGAACAGGAATTCCCTATATATATATATATATAGCAGAACAGCAAAATGTAATTTATTATGGGTTTGTAAGGTATGGGTTAAAGGAACACTATAGTCACCTAAATTACTTTAGCTAAATAAAGCAGTTTTAGTGTATAGATCATTCCCATGCAATTTCACTGCTCAATTCACTGTCATTTAAGAGTTAAATCACTTTGTTTCTGTTTATGCAGCCCTAGCCACACTGGCCACACTGGCCACACTGGCTATGATTGACAGAGCCTGCATGACAGAGCCTGCATGAAAAAAAAACTGTATTCACTTTCAAACAGATGTAATTTACCTTAAATAATTGTATCTCAATCTCTATATTAAACTTTAATCACATACAGGAGGCTCTTGCAGGGTCTAGCAAGCTATTAACATAGCACTGGATACGAAAATCTAAATTAAACAGAACTTGTAATAAAGAAAGCCTAAATAGGGCTCTATTTACAGGAAGTGTTTATGGAAGGCTGTGCAAGTCACATGCAGGGAGGTGTGACTAGGGTTCATAAACAAAGGGATTTAACTCCTAAATGGCAGAGGATTGGGCAGTGAGGCTGCAGGGGCATGTTCTATACACCAAAACTGCTTCATTAAGCTAAAGTTGTTCAGGTGACTATAGTGTCCCTTTAACCCCTTAAGGACCAAACTTCTGGAATAAAAGGGAATCATGACATGTCACACATATCATGTGTCCTTAAGGGGTTAAACATTTTCAACCCTTAGATTTACAGTTAGATTTTGTTCCTAATATAGTAAGTGTATTTACTGATGGTGTTATTCACTAAATGCATTGAATTGCAGTGAATTAACTACAAAAAAAATATAGGTGAGTACAGGTACACAGGAGATGTTTTCCAGATCCTCTAGTTTGGTCTGTATTTTCAGCTCTTATTCTAGTTCCCTGATATTCATAGCGTAGTGAGTAAATTAATAAACCCCCATAACCTCAAGGATTTGGATATTCTATACATTGTGAGCAGGACATTCAATTCATATAAAAACAACATTTTTTTATTAAAGATGGCTGATCACCTCTTTTTTCTCTAAAACTCTACAACATTACCACTCCTGCTGACAGAATTACAAACGGGCTGAACAGGACTGTATGCTTACATTAGTCTTAGAGCTACAGCCTGGGGAATTAATTTAGTAACAGTCTCTATTACAAGCCAAGAAGTGTTTATGACACCAACATTGCCTAATAAAAGAGAACAAATCATTGTTTGAAATTAACAATATTTTTAAGACACATTTATTTTATGGTAAACAGTAACATTATTCATAGGATATTTAAAGCGGTAATCATCATTTATGGAGATGGGTTTTTCCAAATTCAGCATTAAACAACATAACTGACACAAATAAATAGCTGATATAGTCATTTGTTGTGTATTTGATTAATGTGATTTAATAGGTGCTTTCATCTTGTAGTTCTTAAAGGTATATTTATCAGTATTTAGAAAAAGAATTCTAGTAGAGCAGTGGATATTTTTATATTTTAGAAATGTTGTTGTTTTAGGATTATATTGTGTTTTTGTTTAACCTTAGCTCTAGGCCTTCATAGGGATAACCATAGTTTACGCCCTTTGATTTATTGTGCAGTGAAGGTTGGGATGTCTCAGGGTGGTCACAACGTGCTAGGCGCACTTTGCAGCATTTCTGGAGACGGAGCACTGATCCAAGCAGCCATCTTATCCTGAACAATACAGCAAGCCACGTGTCTCATTTATCATACTTAACACAGCCACCAAGTGAACATTATTGCTCAAACCCCATTGGAACTTCACTGTCCCTCCAATCACAAGCTACAATTGGGGAGATACCCTGGAGTGCTTACCCAAATAAGTTGCTTCCATGAATTTGCACATTTTGATTAACTTAAAGCTTCCCACAACATTAAGTGGCCTATTCCTACCTATACAGCAGATAAATAGTTTGTAGTGAGCACCAAAAACTAAATGCTTGCTAGTAGTATAGTATATGATAACTGAGTCTAAGGAATAATTTTCATGTTGTTTAAAGTAATAAACAATACCATTGTGAACTAACCTGTAATTTTTTCAGCTGCCCAGAACTTCCCGACTGTCTCCAGAACCCAGGCTTCCGCTCTGTCCACAATGAGAAATGAGCTGTGGAACCCCAGAGCCATGCTTTCATCTTCAAAATGATTTCCACCTTGTCCGTGTTCTTCTAATAATGATACTATTACGTCTACAGAATCTTTTGCAGTTGTTCCGCGTTCTAGACCAAGCCTGGAACAATATGCATTAATGTAATAGTACGCATCTACTGTATCTATTGAAATATTTCAACCTACTTTGTTACATAAAGTCTAGACAGACAGAGTAGAAATTGTCTTTTTAACAATAACATGCAAAAATAATTCAATGTCTGTGAGGTTTTTATGGATTTGTGTAAATCTTTATATATCCATGTGCTATGATTGTATTGCCTCCATTATTTTCACAATGGTTGTGTCACAGGCTTTGGATCATGGTTATAATGTTATTTAATATACATATGGTAATATACACACTACACAAACATACACTGCATTCACTATACACACACTACACAAACACACTGCATTCACTATATACACACTACACAAACACACACTTCATTCACTATACACACACTACACAAACACACACTGCATTCATTATATACACACTACTCAAACACTGCATTCACTATACACACACTACACAAACACACACTCTGCATTCATTATATACACACTACACAAACACACACTGCATACACTATATACACATTACACAAACACACACTGCATTCACTATACACACACTACACAAACACACACTGCATTCACTATATACACACTACACAAACACACACTGCATTCACTATATACACACTACACAAACACACACTGCATTTACTATATACACACTACACAAACACACACTGCATTCACTATACACACACTACACAAACACACTCTGTATTCACTATACACATACTACACAAACACACTCTGCATTCACTATACACACACTACACAAACACACTCTGCATTCATTAGACACACACTACACAAACACACATAGCATTTACTATACACATTGCACAAACACACACTCTGTATCCACTACACAAACATACACTGCATTCACTAATCAAATACTGTCACTGCATTCACTACACACACATATTCTTGAAAACATAAAAAATTCTGACTGGCATGTATATTTTGTGCATTTACCTTAATAAAAAAAGATTTGCAAAAAAATAAATAATTTGTGTAGAAATATATATATTTTTTTTTAAATGGTAAATGTACAGAATATTGGTAAGTTATCAGCTATCGGCCTGAAAGTTCACAGATTATCGGTATCTGCTCTAAAAAATAAATATCGGTCGATCCCTACTACGATATAATGACAAAATTAGACAAAACAAATAAAGAGCAAAGATGAATTTACTGTTAACCAGATCTTGACAGCAACCAGAGTAAAAAAAAATATGCAAACTGCAAAATTAGGATGACTTTGTTTAGTTACGCTCATTGAAAGATGCTTATGACTCCTTTTAATATTGGTGGATACGTTTCCAAATATTCAATATTTTTGGATTAGCTTTATAAATAGTGATGTCCCGAACGGTTCGCCGCGGACTTATCATTGAGTAAACTTTGACCCTGTACCTCACAGTCAGCAGACACAATCCAGCCAATCAGCAGCAGACCCTCCCTCCCACCTCCTTGACAGCTCACTAAGAATGCAGCTTCAAAATGAATGCTGTCCAGGAGGTGGGAGGGTCTGGGAGGGAGGGTCTGCTGCTGATTGGCTGGAATGTGTCTGCTGACTGTGAGGTACAGGGTCAAAGTTTACTCAATGATGAGTCCGTGGCGAACCATTTGTGGCGAACCTTTCGGGACATCACTATTTATAAATGATTCAATATTATAAAAAATATTTTAATTTTGTAAAATTTTTATATTTTGTGATATATCTACATATTTTTTTTTTTTTTATATGATGCATGTCCTGATATTTTAGTAGGCTGAAAAAATAATTTGAAAAGTTTACCCAAAAATCCATTGGAAAGGTTATCCAACGATCTTAAATCAAGGCCTTATTTAGTAGCAACTGTTTCTAATAACAGTAAGAACAATTTTAACAATAAAATGTTGAATATCAATCAGTCACCTGACTAGATCCATGCCTAGTAGCAATTTGCTATCAGAAGCGGCCTGTCTAGCGGTAACTGCCACATTTCCAATGCAAACTCCGTGCTCATTGGCTCCCATCTCCGCCCCCCACATCCAGGCAGGTTTGCTTAGTATGACAGCGTGGGTTCTCAGGGCTTGCTCAATTTCAAGGTATGTGCACTGTAAAGTGTGATAACAAAAACAAATAGAATTATACTTGCAAAGAGCACGAGGAAAAACTGTATACACTATAGAATATAAAATATCATAATATCATAATCATATCAAATTTCAATGTCAGCAAGCTCTGGAACAAATTGTGCCATGGATAAACAATATTGCAGAGAGCTGAATTCACACAATGCACCTGGGCATCATCTGGAGTCCTTTATAAAATAACAAAATAACAATAAAGTCCATTTCTGCTTTCATTCTGCAATTTAGACAGGAATGCACACATACCTACATATGTGCTAAATTTAGAGCCAACTCCCTAGAGGTTTCCTATTAAATGAATCATGTAGGACACGATGCACTAGGCTAAATGTCTATAGAACAGTTTCCAATGTTGCCATGTTTTCCTGACTAGAATATCACAGAGCATAGATATGGCCCCAGGGGCATATTACAGTTCCAGGAACTCAAACTGAGGATGCTACAAGTTCCAGGAACTCAAACGAGGATGCTACAAAGCAATATCCTGGAATTAAACAGATGCATTGAAGATACCTCGCTGGAGGTGGGTTAGAGATGATTGATCTTAGCACACAAGGTACCTGGAGAAGGACAACTATAGGGTTTCTATTCCTGTTTCAGTGTAGGATTGCAGAATGTTATCACAGCTGAATATTGCTATACATAGCTGTATTTTCATCTAACTCCAGTCCTGATCCAGATTAAAAAGAAATATCACATTTAGGTAAAAGGGTTAATACCGCACAGTGTATACTGTGTCCAGCCAGAGCCTAACAATTTACTGCTCTATAGGGAAACAAGGAAGATCATCATTGCTTAATTTAAAGGTATCTGGGACTCTCACTCCTATCATTCTCATGGGTAACAATAATTACAACGACAGCTCTAAAATTTCACCAGCCCACCTTGTGCATGTCAAAGACCCACTCAGGACTAATGGTTGGGAAGGAAACATGTACCCCTGGAGGATGATGTATTACATGTGTTTTTTGTACATTAGTAGAGTATGACTATTATTAATTAGGAAAAAAGTTGCGGTTAAGGTAAATATATTGATGAGATTTTCAGTAAATTATATTTGTCGGTATTTTTTTCTGCTTTATGTTATATTTATGGTGGGTCGAAGTTGCCCCAAGATGCATCAAACAAACTGCCATAGGTGTAGGAACAGTAGGTGCATAGTACTTGCCAAACCATCATTTCAGGAACATCATGTTTCTATAGTGGAGCTATGCCCAAGCCCACCTTACATGGTTGAATTAACAGGAAAACCCGCTAGTCCGTCATGTAACTGAATGTAAAAACAGGATTACACCTACAGAAGGAACTTTATATATTCCAACTGCTTGGACTCTGACACTCATAATGGTCACCCATTCAAACTATTGTGTCAACCATATGTATTAATTTGAGGACTACATTTTGCAAGATCGTCATCATGCATTTTGACCAAAAGTAGGCCAGAGCATCACAGGAAACACGATCTGTATCTGTAGACACCATTGAACTCTATGCTTAAAGCCAATTCTACAAAACCAATTCACTAACTGTTTCATACTTTCAATACTTGGCACTATATTCCGCAATCACTGCCTTGGCAATGTCTAACACATGACATTCCTTTTAAGCAAAAGATTAAGTACAAATGAATTGGATACATCTGCAAGCTATAAGCATCTACAGAGAAAGTCTTGTATTTTTCAGAAGACTTCTAAAGGGAATATGTACTGCAAACAGCATGCAGGTTAACATTTAAAAAGAAACGTAGTTTTCTTGTAAAGGAAGGAAATCAGCAAACATTGATTAATAATCTGTCAGGGAATGAGTCAGTGAGTGGTCATTTAAGTGTACTTGAATGTTATCTACACCACAATTCCAGAATGGCATTTTAATTTGATATTCAGCGGTATTCTAGATCAATGACAGCAGGGATATAAGAAAGCAAACTTTCATTTGATACTAGCAGAGAACTTTAAATAGGTTTTATATTAAAAAAAAAAAGGGTTGTAAGGAATGGGATTAATTTGGTTTTAAAGGAACAGTAGCATCATAAAAAATAAATCCAAATATATTGGACTCCTAGAGTACAATCTAGCGTATGCAGTTATCATTCATTTAAGCACAGCCCACTCATAGTGTACAATGTGAGGTGTGTCTGAGGAAACCATTGTTTTAAAGCAGGGGTGCCCAATAGTTTGATCCCCAGGTGTTGTAGAACTACAACGACCACAATACTTTGCATGCCTCTAGAATGCCTTTGGAACAACAAAGCATCATGGAAGCTGTAGTTTTAAAACATCTAGGAATCTACCTTTTTGACATCCCTGGTTTAAAGGAATGTGAGGCTCTGCATGGGTGAGGCTTACACAGTGATCCATTTTCATTAGCTAGTTATAAAGAAAGAGAGCCATTCATGTTGGGTCTGCATAACTTTTTTTCAATATTTTTTATTTAATGTCAATGTAGGCATTGGGGTGATCCATATAAAAGATTTATCATTCCTGGTCATGAGCTATGGAAGGTTGGAGTCCCCGTATTACTGCGAGGGGGCTTGGACATCCTTAACTTCATGAATAAGGGGGGCAGGACATCCCTAGTCCTTTCAAGTGTACTCTAGGAATACGGAATCCCTCTATACCACTCTGTAGACATTACTCTCCACCCTACCGTACGGGAGATGGAGAAAAGTGCAGAGACATTCACATGCCCATACCCACAATTAAAATAAAATCTTTGCACATGGAATAGAGGTTCGTGGATCACCAGTATTTTATGGAATGATCTTGGGGTTGGGCTAAGCCCCAAATAGAACACAGCTTATATTTATTTATCGTCTAAGGGCACTAATGCCTGTACCCTGGCGATAAATGGGGATCTTCACTGCGCATTTACTTTTTTTGCGAGGAAGCAAAGAGATTAGTTGCCAGTAGTTTCATTCATGTTCAAACCCATATTGTCTAGTAAGTGCCAGAACTACTGTCAGCAGAAAAAAGAAATAAAACGCAGCCACTACAGGGCATTTCTGTTCCCGCTCGCTGTAATCATTTAGCTAGATAAAAAACATAAAATGCTTAGTAAAACAAAAATAGTAGCTAAAAAAAGGGAAAAAAATTTTTTTATACCATTTTAACCCTAATCTCAATTTAACCCTTTAACTGCTTTCTTGTGAATTAATTATTGACAGAGATTTATTTACCTGTACTTTACTACCTGGTTCATGATTACAAGACGGAACATAGAGCACTTCTTGAACCTCATCCCTTGGCCGGGCTGAATTCTTCCCAAACAATATATGACTGTTTTTTGTTGCAGGTGGAAAAGCTACAAAACAATAGCTTGAAGGAGCACCAGCCATCCTAGAAGGAAACAGTAACATATAATAAATGATGGCAAGCAAACAGGCACTGTGTATGCATAAGTAGTGATGGGCCGGGTAGAACAATGGAGATAATCAGCCTCAAATGGGCAGACTTGTAGCAGTCAAGTTAAATGTTTGTAGGTACACTAAATATGCATGCAAGATACATCGCCCACACAGAGCAATATATCGATATGTGATTTATGACATCATTTTGCGTAAAATCAGGAATTAGTATCAGATCAATAATAAAAAGCACATGAGAGGGAGAATTCCTAACTAGTTATAAAAGATCCAGGGTCCAGTTTAAGATCATTTTAATACATCTAAGACAGTGATTGCTAACATTTGCACAAGAGATAGCACACTCTATAATTAACAAAGACATTGCAGGCCTGGTAAATGTACACATGTATACCAGAGGTAAATGTACACAAATCTCATTATTTGTGCTATGGAGTTATAGTCATAGTTCTATTGTTTCTTTTTTTCTTCTTTAAAATGAACACTATAGTGTTAGAAATACAAACATGTATTCCTAACTAGTCAGATGCATCCCCTTCCCCAATTATCGTAAATTAAAAAATAGTAAAAAAAAAAAAAGCTGCTTACTTGCCTTTTTTCCAGCACGGAGACTCATTCGGTATTGCTGTCTGCTCCTCCACCTGCGATGTCATCCTCAAAGCTTTGCTTCCTGTGCTCATCCAATCAATTGCTTTACATAGGGAAGCACTGAATTCAAAGCTTCCCTATCAACAGCATTTTGATGACATAAACTTCCATAAACAGAGCCCTGCAATCATAACATTTCTACAAAATGGCAATGTTTTACATTGCAGGGCTAAAACGCCTCGGGGGCTGCGCCCAGACCACATCATTGAGAAGAAGTGGTCTCGGTGTCTTTAGTGTCCCTTTAAATCCTTATTTATGCAAATAAGTAATATTATACAATGTACAAGTCAAAAACAGCATTTTATAACTTATTTCTTGAAACCTCAAGCACATACAGCTTTGGTGAGGCTTTAAATATTTCTGTGTATCACAATAGTCTCTAAGCTCTAAGAGAAAATTCTGTCTTCCACACTTACGTGACTCCAACCGGCTCCTATTTAGGATGGATGTCACTTTTTGGAATCCAGATCTCTCTCACCTTCTTTCTGACCCTGATGTGCCACATGAAAAAGGGTACAACGTTCTTTTTTGGGGGGCCTAAAATTTGGAATTCACTTGTCACTTCTCCACAATTCCTGATACACTGAATTAAACTCGTGTTTATTTTGGGAAAAGCATTTCATAAGCATATAAGCTGCTTTCTCCCCAGACTGGACCACATCCCATTAATCCTCAAAGCAGTCAGGAAATCCAGTGCTACACTTCCACCCACTGATCTTACAACTAGAGACCCTCACATTAGCTCCGATTATAGACCTAACAGAAAATATTCCATACAAATTGATTAATGAAAATAAACTTGCATCTCCCACTATAGAAGAAATAAGTGATGTAGGAATATTAGTGCATTTTAAATAAGAATAATGGACTGTCCTTCCAGTCCCAGGGCAGGGTTCTGCAAGTATTACCAAATAAAAGGACTAACTGAATATTGGGCAAGAAATATAAAAGTGGCATGCCTCATATGGAAGACTGACAAAATTGCAAGGTTTACAACTTGTGCGGGGCCAATTTTTGATACTGATATCAACATAAAGAATCACATGCATAACGTATAAACAATATTAGTGGATATATAATTGTTGCCAGCATCCTTTTTGCAATTCCGCAGAGTATTCTTTGAATATAAAATTCTCATGATTTTGCAAAAAGAGAGGCACATCTGAAGAAGGCACACAGTACAGTGTTTGTGTCTACCACAATAGGCCTGTGTGCAGTGTGGGGAAGATGAAATGGGTCAGGAATGTACCAGAGCACAATATAGAAGGACGCTAACTGGACGTAATTGAATGCAAAATAAAATCTAAATGGCACACACTTTTTTTTTCTTTAAATACAGAAAATGTAAACCAAAATGCCTTTTAAAACATTAGAACAAATACTTAGAATAGGTATTAAATGATGAGTTCCTTAAATCAATATTAAAAATTATAAAAACAAATAAATGTAGGCAGTGTATAATCAATCAATAAAGGTGGAATAAAAAAAAATCCTATTGCATATAATGGGATTAATTTTCCTCCAGATATAAACATTAAAACATACATTATTATAAAAAAAAAATTAGGGATATAGATTTGTGATATAATTGAACAATCTGGGCCACAATAGCCAATCCAATATGAAAAATGTCAATTTGTGTGTTAGGCGTACTCTTCACGCCAATACACACAGGGGGATTGGCAAACAGGTGGCATTATGTATATTATGTCATGGAGATGGGGGTGGGGGGGCGGGTTAACCATGGGGTATAATCACTAAACAACAAATTGCAGTGGATTGAAAACTGAACCGCAAAATTAAGGCAAAAAAGTGTGGTTTAAGAAAAATCCTCAATTAATTTAATGCTCAATAGGGCATTATTCATTTTTAAGAACTTAGTTAAAGAGGGTTGGAATAACCCTTTAAGCCTAAGCAAGCAGGTGTGGATGGATTTTAAATTTAACTGAAGCTAGTAGCTGCAGGTTTCTGGATCTTGGAAGTTCTAGGACCAGAGTTGCTAGGTTCCAGAAAACCTTCTGCAGTAACAGGTAAGGTGCGGATGTTATGGCCTGTCTCTGGCTCTCTGTATTATGTTCCCTCCTCTCTACCCATTAACAGTGTCCTGCCGATACTCTCCAGGATCTCAATGAAAACATAACCAGCACAATATGAGCCTGTTGATGACATTTTTTAACCAATTTGAAATTCAGCTCTTAGATATTGGCAGCTTTTGTTATTTCATAAATTTTTCAAGTGGATCTTATTGTTTGGTCTTTTTTTTTAACCCCTTAAGGACCAAACTTCTGGAATAAAAGGCAATCTTGACATGTCACACATGTCATGTGTCCTTAAGGGGTTAAAGGACACTTTAAGCACCATTACCACTAGTGGATCTTGTTGTTTGGTCTTTTTTAAAGGACACTTTAAGCACCATTACCACTAGTGTTTATTAAATTGATTATGGTTATGGTTCAAGCCTTAAAGGGACACTATAGTCACCAGAACAACTACAGCTTATTGTATTTGTTCTGGTGAGTAGAATCATCCTCTTCAGGTTTTTTGCAGTAAACGCTGTATTTTCAGAGAAAATGCAGGGTTTACATTACAGCCTAGTGATAACTTCACTGGCCACTCCTCAGATGGCTGCTAGAGGTGCTTCCTGGGGAAGTTCTGCATGCTGTGCAGCACTGCCATTCAGTGTCTCCACCCTCTGCATGCAGACACTGAACTTTCCTCATAGAGATGCCTTGATTTAATGCATCTCTATGATGAGATTCTGATTGGCCAGGGCTGCGTTTGGTTTATGCTGGCTCTGCCCCTGACCTGCCTCCTTGACAGTCTCGGACAATCCTATGGGAAAGCATTGTAATTGGCTAAGAGAATCAGTTCTGATGATGTCAGCCAAGCAGGCAGATCAGGGCTGAGCCAGCATCTGTAGATTGTAATACAAGTAAGATTTTACTATATTTAGGGAAGCAAGTTGGGGGGTTGGGAAGGGGTTAGAGGGGCTAGATGGCGGTTTTAAAACTATAGTGTCAGGAATACATGTCTGTGTTCCTTTAAAGATCTTCATAGTTCATGTTTTCAAGACATCTGACAAAATGTGGAGTTTCCTAGAACCCAGGACCTGGCCCCTCTGCTGCCAATGAAATAATAAGGAATTTATCTTCCTTGTTATAATTTCAAACTTTTTCATTTCCCCAATGTCACATTGTCTTTTCAATCTCAGCTACTACTCAATTTGTTAAAAATAAATATTGTGAAAAAAGTGCTGGCAGTTATAGCGCTATACATTCAAAAGACACTTAAACATTTACTTTCTTTGCACCTTTAAGAGAAAAGGAACAAAACACCTCCTACCAACTGTGTCTATACAATCAATACAGCCAAATATTGCATGGAAGAATGCTATTATATTTTCCTGCTGTGAGATGGAAAATGTTAGTAGTGCTGCTATTTTTTCCTATATGTTGTAACTTGGTTGAACCCTCTCCACAATTTAATGTATACTAAAATAAACCCTTATTTTTCCTTTACATTTTATATAGATATATAAAATGTGTATATATATATATAAAATGTAAAGAAAAGAAAAAAACAACAACAAACAACCGGAATAAAACAAACGTTACAAAAAATAAACTATATGAATTGTAGTTTGTATGCTTGGATAAGCTTTACGGAAAGGAACACTCCAATTAAAAATTATTGATACATTTTCTTAATATTATTCTTTAAATATATATTTTAATTGTACGTGATTCTTAATGTATTTAGAATACTGAGACGTCAGTTTCACATCAAAAGGGCTAACAATCAATAAAACGTACCTGTATTCCAGCGCCAGGAGAGTCTCCTTGTTGCAGCTCAGCTCCTCCTCCTATTTGGTCATCAATACTGATGACTTGCGTCCAATCAGATGCTTCTCATAGACACATAGTGCATACATGGCAGTCGTCACAAGCAAAAACAATTCTTATCTATGGGAAGTACTCCCTTCTGCTTTGAGCTACAGTTTGGAATGAATGTGGTGGAAACTAATAAGATTTATATAATACACATATGTAAAATAATCTCACTATGTACTAGGGTGTGTTTAATGTCATGAGGCACACTAAAAGCCTCATCTCTCAAGATATTTGAAACATTAATGAAAATTAAAAAAAATTTCTGTCTCACCCTTCTTCTTTAACCAGTTAGTTGTTCAGCCCCTCTGCTATTGACTTTTGTCGTTCACTGCATAATTATAATTCTGGGTTACAAGTCAAAGTGACAGCTTGATGTAAAGCCAGTTGCACATGAATATACCTAATAATGTTAAAGTCTACTGGTTAACCTTGAAGACACCATACTTATCAAACTATTACTTAACAACCATTACTACATATATGGAGTAGCAAACTTACAAAATAATGTGTTGTTTTTGTTTTTTAATCTGTAGTAAGATAGCAGTGGGTTCTCCATTGGAATAGTATGAAACCTAGTCACAGGAAGGAACTAAATACAGAATAATTATTTTAATTTTAATTACAAATAACATACGAGAGTTTAGGACACATCTGTTAAGCAGTTATTACCCAGCATCTGTCTACATGTATCCTACACAGAGGATCTGTCCACATGATCTATCTACATGTATCCTACATACAGGATCTTTCTACATGCATCCTACACGCATGATCTGTCTACATGTATCCTACATACAGGATCTTTCTACATGCATCCTACACGCATGATCTGTCTACATGCATCCTACATACAGGATCTGTCTACATGCATCCTACACACATGATCTGTCTACATGCATCCTACAAGCAGGATCTGTCTACACGTATCCTACAAGCAGGATCTGTCTACACGTATCCTACAAGCAGGATCTGTCTACACGTATCCTACAAGCAGGATCTGTCTACACGTATCCTACATACAGGATCTGTCTACATGCATCCTACACACGATCTGTCTACATGCACCCTACACACATGATCTGTCTACATGCATCCTGCACTCATGATCTGTCTACATGCATCCTGCACTCATGATCTGTCTACATGCATCCTACAAGCAGGATCTGTCTACATGTATCCTACAAACAGGATCTGTCTACATGCATCCTACACACATGATCTATCTACATGCATCCTACATGCATGATCTGTCTACATGCATCCTACATACAGGATCTGTCTACATGCATCCTTCACATATGATCTGTCTACATGCATCCTGCACTCATGATCTGTCTACATGCATCCTACATACAGGATCTATCTATATGTATCCTACACACAGGATCTGTCTACATGTATCCTACATACAGGATCTGTCTACATGCATATAACACAGAGGATCTGTCTATATGCATCCTACACACATGATCTATCTACATGTATCCTACATACAGGATCTGGTTACATCCATCCTTCCACGCATGATCTGTCTATATGTATCCTACATATAGGATCTGTCTATATGCATCCTACATACAGAATCTGTCTATATGTATCCTACATACAGGATCTGTCTACAGGTATCCTACAGATGATACATTGTAATTAATTAAAAGCAGATGGCAGACCCCGCTCTCTCCCCCTCGCTGAAGGTTGCCTATGCCTGGACTGGATGCTGCTGCAGCCATCACCATCTTCCCGGAGCTCACACACTCACCCGCCGCCCGGCCCTGCTCCCCGGATCTGAATGACACGGACACTGGGACTCTCTGCCTCCGTTCCGCCCGCCTGCTGGTACCTCCCTCTGTCCTCTGCCTGCCAGGGCCTGAGCTATGCACTGCATATATCCCTGCACAGCATCCATCGCTGCACTGCAACCATCACTGCACTGCAACCATCAGTTCACTGCATCCATCCTTGCACAGCAGCACAGCATCCATTCCTGCATGGCAACCATCAGTGCACGGCATACATCACTACACTGCAACCATCCCTGCACAGCAATCACTGCACTGCAACCATTCCTGCACGGCATCCATTCCTGCACGGCATCCATCAGTGCACAGCATCCATCCCTGCACAGCAATCACTGCACTGCAACCATTCCTGCACTGCATCCAGCCCTGCACGGCATCCATCCCTGCACAGCAACCATCATTGCACAGCATCCGTCCCGGCACTGCAACCATCACTGCACAGTATCCATCCCTGCACTGCAACCATCATTGCACAGCAGTACAGCATCCATCCCTACACGGCAACCATCACTGCCCACATCGATCCCTGCACAGCATCCATTCCTGCACAGCAACCATCACTGCCCACATCGATCCCTGCACAGCATCCATTCCTGCACAGCAACCATCACTGCCCACATCGATCCCTGCACAGCATCCATTCCTGCACGGCATCCATCCCTCCACGGCAACCATCCCTGAATTGCAACCATCACTGCACTGCACGCATCCATCCGTGCAGAGCAACCATCACTGCACGCATCCATCCGTGCACAGCAACCATCACTGCAGAGTATTCATAACTGCACGCTGCCCTCACTGCACAGCATCCATCCCTGCACTGCAACCAAATTAGAAATTGCAGGGATTGACTTTTAGCCTAGAGAAGGAGCACTGTATGAGCTACTAATAATTACTATGAATATAATGTATACATCACTGACTGACTACAGTGCACTGCAAATTACACCTCATTGTCAATTACAGACTACAGAGTAGACGTGCAAAAATGTGTTTTAAGAGATTTGACTAAATGAAATTCCTGGAAGTAGTCAAATGAATCTGTTGTGAACCCTGGTGAGTTCACAAACGGACCGAATCAGAATCATGTGAACCAAAGTCCTTTAAAAAAGAAAATTTGTTTAGATGATTCGATTCCTTGGAGAACTAACCAAATTTCCTGAATTTATTGGTTTGACGATTAGCAGGAATTTTATTTAAACGAACCACATAATTAATTTTTGCAAGTCTACTAAGAAATGCACTGCAAATTATATTGCACACCTCACATGAAGACTACAGTGAGCTGAAAATGATTCTGTATTCACATATTTTATAGAGTACAGACTAACGTCTCCCTAAAACACCTCCAGCATTACATACCTTTTCACCCTATTTCCTTAATAGCAGTCGAGACGTCCTTCCCATTAAATTTGACTTTTTACCACCACTTCAAAATACACCTTCCCATCTCCTTCTAGGATACTTCCTGTCAAATACAGTGCCCGAACTGAAACACAAACTCAACTAATTTATCCTTAAGTGCCAGCACTGAAAACTAAGATTTTTTCATTTTATTTAGAAAAACATGTGACCATTTCCATCACACGAGGAGTCTGTCCAATAATCCTACTACTACTACTGGCTTTGCTTCCTATTCCCAATCCCTGAAGCTGTAATGACCCCAACAGATCTACATCTGGAGTGGGGACAGTTGCCTAGCCCAGGGCCGGACTGGCCCACCGGGATACCGGGAAATTTCCCGGTGGGCCGTCGGCACCTGGGGCCGGTGTGACCTGCGGCCGCAGGGAGAGCTTGGATGTCGGCCGCAGGGGAAGCTCTTCTGGCGGCCGCTGGGGGAGCAGGCTGTTCTGTCTCTGCTCCCCCTCCCTCGCGCGGGGCCGGAATATGACGTCATATCCCGGCCCCGGTCTCTTTCTAGCGCGCGAGGGAGGGGGAGCAGAGACAGAACAGCCTGCTCCCCCAGCGGCCGCCAGAAGAGCTTCCCCTGCGGCCGACATCCAAGCTCTCCCTGTGGCCGCCAGCACACAGGTATGTATGTCAGTATGTATGTCAGTGGTGAGTGTGTGTGTGTCTGTGTCATGCTGTGTGTGTGTCTGTCTGTGTCATGCTGTGTGTGTGTGTCTGTCTGTGTCATGCTGTGTGTGTGTGTCTGTGTCATGCTGTGTGTGTGTGTCTGTCTGTGTCATGCTGTGTGTGTGTGTCATGCTGTATGTGTGTGTCTGCCTGTGTCATGCTGCGTGTGTGTGTGTCTGTCTGTGTCATGCTGTGTGTGTGTGTGTCTGTGTGTGTCATGGTGTGTGTGTCTGTGTGTCATGGTGTGTGTGTCTGTGTCGTGTGTGTGTCTGTGCCACGGTGTGTCTGTATCACGGTGTGTGTCTGTCTGTGTCACGGTGTGTGTGTGTCTGTCATGGTGTGTGTGTGTCTGTGTCATGGTGTGTGTATGTCTGTCGTGGTGTGTGTGTGTGTCAGTCGTGGTGTCTGTGTGTGTTTTTAAAAATAGTGTTTTACTCACGTTTTTTTTTTTCAAACGTCGTGCTGGTCTCTGCCTCTATGACTGAGATCATCAAGCTTGATGATCTCAGCCAATCCGCACTGACACAGGAAGCGCCTCTAGTGACCGTCTGAGTGTCTGTCACTAGAGGTGTCACTAGGAAGCAATGTAAACACTGCATTTTCTCTGAAAAGTCAGTGTTTACATTCAAAAGCCTGCAGGGACAGGCTATAGACACCAGAACCACTACATTAAGCTGTGTGTGTGTGCGTCTGCTAGTGAGCTTGCTTGCTTGCATGTGTGTGTGTGCCTGTTAGTGGGTGAGCTTATGTTTTTATGTCAATGAGCTTATGTATATTAGTAAAATTGTTTGTCTATGAGGCTGTGTATCAATGAGCTTGTGTGTGTCAGTGAGATTGTCTGTGTCTGCATGTGAGTATGCTTACTGTATAATTAAATGTTTTACTTTGAAAGGACCAATATATTATATTAGAAAAAGCAATATATATATATATATATATATATATATATATATATACTACTCAATCATCTGGGGTGGGCAAGACATAGCCTTACATATTACATGCGACAATATATGGCGCAATGACTTATGGGGCTGGCATAGTTTTTTTTCCAGGGCTGCTTTGTATCCCCAGTCCAGCCCTGGCCTAGCCCTCTTCTAATCTAGACCAATTCTCGTTCTCTAATGCAGAATCTCCTTCCAGGCCATTACCTAATTCCACTGCATAATACCCTGCATCCTGTTTTCTTCTAAGTCACTACCTTCTCTACCACTACATAATATCTCCTGTAAATCCATTTCTTTAACAGGGATGGTTGCAGTGTAGTGATGTAAGCCCTTGTCAGAGTTTTACTCCTTTTCTTCATTATAATAGGGTTTATCATATACAAATTCTGCAAGACAGCTGTGTGTTCATCATAGCTATTTTGGCCAAGATTTCAAATTCAAATTCATATTCGCCTCATTTGATACAACTGGTTAACCCCACGGCGGACCCGTGGAGAGCTGAAAATAAGGTGAGTTTTAACCCATTCTGAGGGGGCAAGCCACCTAAATGGTGGGTTTTCACTATAGGGTCAGGGATACATATTTGTGTTCCTGACCCTATAGTGAACCTTTAATGAATGATCATCATTCAGGGTATAATAAAAGTGGAATTTTTATTTTTTCCACTTTATTGTACCCTGAATGGTGATCCTTCATTAATAGTACTCTATCTCTATACACATATTGAGAATGTATAACACACAGTAGGATACTTAATTTATTCAAGGTTGCACTTATCCACATTTTGTGGATTAAGTGCGTATTGTACATTTGAGTTTGCAACATAGTGTTAAGCCTTAAGACACCCCTGGAGTGTCAAACTGGTGTGCAGGTCACAGGAATTTCCTGGTACCTGAATGTTGTTGTTTGACCCACCAATATTTAATGGTTTGATAAAGGAAGAGATTGGTGGGCTGAACCAGGAAGTATCGGCACAGAGGAAGGGCGGCCTGTGTATTTATAAGTTGGGTAACCCCTCCCACAACTACAGGCTCAGCCTTCCTGGAGTTGTGGGAGGGGTTGATGGAGACTATCTACCTTTTGTACAATAAATTTAGAGAACAAGAAAGGTACAAACACAATTTAACCCGTAAAACTCTTTATTTGCTTGGAGACAAAAACTTTGAAACCTATTAAAATAAAAAATGGAAAAAAAAAAAACCAACCAATTATAATTTATTCCAATTATAAAATGTCTGTTGGTCACAATTCGAATGTATTACTCAATGTCGGATGTTTACGTGTCAGTTTGCAAAATTCCAAGTATAACGTTTTCATACAATAGCTTGTATCAGGAGAAGTCAGAACAGATTCATGCCTTGGAACTCAGTGGAGTTCTAGAACTATGGGAAGGATTTCCTTAGGATCACCGGGTGTTAACATCAGTTACATTTGGAATAATTGTATTGCAAGTTCCAAGTACTGCATGTTTTATGGCCGCCCTTTGATTGGCAGATAGTCCTTTTTTTTGTTAAAGCTCATCGTGTATATATGTAAATTCTCTGGCAGAAATGTATCCATCACTATCCTCATCTTCCTTTTCAAATATACTCTCCACAAGGATGTCATGTTGACTGTCATTTACTTGGTTGCCATGCTTCTGAAATTCAAGCCTCAGATATTCCTTTACCTAATTAAAATAAATGATAAAAAATAAATAGATTTTAAAACGTGGTTTAATATAAAGCACTATATATAGTAACCTCTTTTAAAGGATTGCTACAGAAGCCCAGAGACGTCATGTATTTAAAAAAAAATTAATAATAATTCTGGCTAATCGAGAAAACAATTTGTTATTTCGAGAAAACAAGTTTTATAGTCAAAAAAATAAGTGATAAGTCAAAAAAATATTAAAAATATGCGTCCGTAGATTGTAAATGTCAGTTTATTTATAACCTGCATTCCCAATTTTGCATTTCTGTATGCCATGCAATTACATGATGTCAGATGCTCATAATGTATATATTCAGCATTTTCAAAAGGTTAGTTTTGAGTATTTTTCAATGTATGTGTGCATATACTGACTGGCAAAGTTTTCAGCTTGAAAATAAAAAGTTTTACAATTCCTCAGACTGAGCTGTTCCCTCTTTCCTTGCAAAACACTAATCAGCTGCATGATACCGAGCCAGGCGCAGTGTGACTCTCTAACCTGCGATGTGATGTGTCACCTCCAGACTACAGCTGCTGAATCTTAAACATCTAAACTGGGCCTCTGATTTTTTTTTTTGTTTTTTTTTTTTTTTACACAGGGTCTTGTATATCCAATATAGACATAGTTACATGTAACGGATCACCTGGCACCCTGACTGGGTACCTCCGTTGAAGGATGCTCCTAGCACTTACAGAGGGCTCCAAGCGCTCCGCAGACACCACAACCACCGCAGACCCCACGAACCGCCACAGCTTGGTTGGGGTCTTGCCGTCACCTACCCACCCTGGACCTACGACAAGGCTTAAAGGTTCCAGTGGGTAAACCTCTCCTCCAAGAGAGTGAAGCAGGAACAAGCTCTTAAAAGAGCTTAGTAGTGATTAGCTAAGGGAGTATGACAAGCATAGCAATCCCTTGTAGCAGATTCCCTCAATAAGAGACAGGACTCAGATTGAAGGTGAAGTAGAACTGACTGTACTGGCACATACAGCCTCTTTTATTCACATTCTACAAACATAGTACTGCCCACAGGGTTTTGCAGAACAACCAATCAATACGTACAATACACTCAGACACTCCCACACAAAATCCTCCCATCTGCCTGTGATATAATTACTGAACACAATGGTCTAACTTAATTATCACAGGCAGGAAAATACACAGTTTTACACAACATTCATAACTCTAAAAGTATACATCACATTCACATAATCAGCATACTCCAAATACAAACATACGTCAAAATCATACAAATTGGTCCAGTGGGTCAAAAGTTAGTCCCTTTGTGACCATCTGCAAACATGGCTTGGGTGTGGTAAACCAATTACCTCCAGCATACAGAAAATTGCTCTATTCACAACAACAGTAAAAACACATAAAAATACATAAATCCTATTATACTTAACAGAACCCCCACATTCAACCTATCCCCAGATAGGATCTGAGCGCTCACTATATCTGAACAGCGCTCAGATACCACAACCACAGTCAAATCGCCATGGGGTTAAAACACAGTAAGAGCTGATGAGAGACCGATGAGGGGCAAACAGCAAGTTCCAACTGGTCTGGCAGTGTGCCTGGGACAACGCCCTGCTGGAACAATAGACAGGAAACGGGGCAGGGGAAGAGACACATCTTCCCATGGATTCAAATGGGCAGAAACAGTCTTTTAGAAGCCAATGAGCCCCAAATAGTCTTTTTAAATGGCAATACACCCCAGGGCCATAGTCATGAGGGAGGAGGCTAGCAATTAGGCTCCTCCAACAGCCAGGGGCAAAGGGCAGTTGGTCATATAAAAATCCAGTGACAAAAGGCATTTTGTCACATTACACATTAAAACATTCATGCAGTTTTTGAAATCTCCATTAGCAGCCATTTGTGCAGGTGTTATACTAAAACAAG